AGTGTATACTATCTGGCATTTTCCTGCTGTTTATTTGTAAGTCCATTTCCTGTGTGGTTTTGGGGGGTTTTCAGATGAGTTTGGATGTTACGGTAGTAGTGATTGCTAAAAAGGGGTTTTATTATTTGCTTATGAGAAGAGGCTTGCATCCTTTAATTTTGAATGTGGGACTTTGCCTTTTATCACCCCAAGATAGGTTTACTGTATTGCCCAATACCTTAACACACTAATTCAGTGTGTTAAGTGGAAAGATGTAGTGTGCCTTTTCAGTGGAATGACTCGTGAAAAGTATATTGCTTTTCCTCTGCATGAGCTGTACTGCCTGTTAGCTGATTTGAAATTTAAAGTGTTGACTTTGACCTGTAAATCCCTAAGAGTATGTCTACAGTAGGGCTACATCTATACTGTAGCCCAGACATGTCCAAAGTCCGGCCCACGGGCCAATTGCAGCCCGTGTTCCTGTTTAATATGGCCCCACGGGTAATTTGGCAATATCTATCTTTTATGGCCCCCAATGAATCCATATGTATTGAGATGAATACATTGTAAAATCTCAGTTAAAGTCAGTTGGTCTAAATCAGTTATAAATATATTTGGACACAACATGTATACTTGGTGTTATGTTCCTGTTCATATTTTTTGAACTTAAAAGTTGACAGACAACCTTTATTACCAATAATATGTAATGTACTTTACAATGTTCCTGACATATATTTCAGCTTCCTGGATTTTTTTTTTCATCTGGCCTTCAGATATGAAAGGCAGAGTGATTTAACACCTGTTTAGATTTGTCATCCATGTGACGAAATGAAAAGTATGCCGTTTGCAATAAACTTTGCATAAAATAGTTAATTTGCATTTAATTTTAATGGTTCAAAGAATGTGAGGCAAAATGGTCGGCCCTCACGCATGTTCACTTCATCAAATCTGGCCCTCTTTGAAAAAAGTTTGGACACCCCTGCTGGAGCCTTTTTGCACAAAAACATATGCAAATGAGGCTAAGCGTGGAATATCGCCATGCCTCATTTGCATAATTAATGAGCGCCCATTTTTGCGCAAGAGGCTTTTGCATAGATGGCTCCTTCCATAGACGGCTCCTTTTTGCGCAAAAGCCTCTTGTACAAAAATGTGTGCTCATTAATTATGCAAATGAGGCATGGCGATATTCCACGCTTAGCCTCATTTACATATGTTTTTGCGCAAAAAGGCTTCAGTGTAGACTTAGCCTAGGAAACTATTTGGAAATAACTCAAATCTGTTTAATAAATCCCTGCATTTGAATTATTTTAAAAGTCAGATTTTTCAAAATGTTACAGTATTTCAATGAGCACTAATTGAATGTTTCAATTGGCAAATATTTTGTAATATTCCCAGAGCTTCAGTGAGGTACAGCAAGGGTAAATCAGGAAAAAAAAAACCTGTAATCTCTGAGATCCTGATTTGGGCTGGCACTCTTCAGCCCTGCTTTGTTGTTAGTAAGTACCATACACCTGTGCAGGTTTGACCAGGGAGTGATCCCCACTTGTCATGTTAATATGGCTAGGAGAAACTGAGCAGCCTAAATGATCAATGAGGATTTTAAATCTTGGGTCTGATGTGGAAACAATTACTACTGGGTAGAATGTTTTTTTCCCATGAGTAATCCCATTCCATTGATTATAATGGATCAGCTCCCACTAGAAGGTGCTACCCCTATTAGCACATTTCTGTAGGATCAAGCCCCTATGGTCACTCACGTGCCCCAAAATGGCTGCAGTAATTTTCTCAGTCAGTGACCACATGTCATTCCTCTTTTTAAGATGTAAAATTCTAGAATTGCACCATTGAGAAGAGGTCAAAAGCACGAGTGGCCAGAGTAATTTAGGAATTAAAGCCCATCGCTATGACATAATACAGTAACAAATCACAGGATGCACTGCAAACCTGGACTTCTCAAGGGGCTGAACACATCCGAGGGCACAATGGGATGACCAGTACACATCTTGCTATGTACTTCCCCCCTCCCCCACATGAGATTCTTTAGTGTCATTTGCACATGGATTGGATTTGACTTAATCACTATAACTGGAATTTCCATTGTGAAGCTTTTGGAGGGAAGGCCTTTGGTAGTTATATACTTCTCTCTATAAAGACTTTTCACTTACATGAGGCCTCAAAAATTCTTTTCTCCTGTTCTTTCAGGGGACTAGAGGGCTTGACTTCTCCTTTACCTCCTGCATTTACTCTGACCACAGTCCTTCCCTGTTCTCACAAGTGGAGCTCAGCCTTGCTTCCTTTCCTGTTGATTCCCAGTCAGCTACATGGTAAGTTTTCATTATCACTATACTTGTTGCCGTAGGGTAAAGTCATGGCAGCTTTCTATAAAATCCATTAGTGCTGGATGTTGAGGACAGAGTACTCGATACCCATCAAAAATCATTCAGTCATATCCTACTCTGACTCTTAGGAGAAGGTGGTAATGAATTATCATTGGAACTGAGCTTCAATGAAGATTGTTATAAGAATAAATATGAACTAACATTTGTGACAGAATTAAAGCCATCAATTTGAAAAGGAAACCGTGGAAAGGGGGGGGAAACCCCAAAAAATCATGGACCCTTAAATCCTATTAACCAGGCCAGAGAGAAAATGTGTTAAAAGGGAGCTTCACTGTATCTTTTTTCATTGTTTGATGAAATAATCTTTTTCACCCTTTAAGTGGTGTGTTTAAAAATCCTGGTATTTCTGAAACAAAGGGAATACACAGCCACTGAGCTAGCGGGTTTTTTATACCTTCCTTTTCTGAGTATTGTCCTTCAGTATAATACAGAGCCATTTCTTTGTTCTCACAAGCTAGCAGTTAAATTGTATGTAAATGTATGCAAATTAGATGCTGTCTAATAAAGAGAGTCATTAGATGGAAGAAATATTTAGTTTAGGGGGGAAAGAAAAGAAAAGAAAGCAGGTGTATTTTGCAGTGGAAAATGTAAGACAGGAAAAAAATAAAAAGAAAGAAAGAAATCCCTCAAACTTTGGGTGAAGATTTCTACAAAACCTATTAAAATATTTTGTAAAAGGTCTGCTCTCCTCTTGGCCTTTCCATTCGTGAATGTATTTGTGTAAGAGATTACACCTATGTACACATTTACACATTTTATGTGCCTATAAGTTAAAATACACAAATACCTTACATGTGGCATTGATCTAAATATTTAACAGAAATAGCATTATTTATTATATATATGTGAAATATTTATATCACCTCCATCTAGGATACATATATGTGGGTAGAGACAAAATATGTGTATTTTAATATGTGTAGAGCTGGATGAATAATTGATATTTCAGATCAGTGACAGTTCCTGGAAAAAAAGTTGGTTCAGATCAAACCAAATCTGAAATTTGTTGGAATTGTTGGTGAATTTAGAAAGTCTGTTTCAGCTCTGTTCCAATACTGTGACTTGAACCTGCATTTCTCACATACCAGATGAGTGACCATAATGCTGAGCTAAAACTTATAAGGGCAAGTGAGCAGTGATGCCACTTCCTTCTCTTCTGGCCATTTTGTGATTGGTTAAAATATTAATATCAAATATATGAATAATTTTAATTAGACTGAAAATGTACTTTTCTTCTAATAAACTGTTTGTCCAAGAATTTCTCCAAGCTCTCTATGTATATCTGTATGAAATGATTTAATAGTGTGTATATGGGAGGATAAATATAATTATTAGTGTGTGCTTTTGTATACCACATATGTGCAGATGATAGTCATGTGATACATTTCAAAGGTGTGGAATGATTTATTTATCATACACTTTTGACCACCTGACCAGCACTCTGCCCTCAATCTCTCTGCTCAGATTTATTCCAGCATCCCAACTCCCAAGATGCTTCAAGTATCCACCATTTAATTAATTACTTAAAATCAGCTTTCCTCAGAAATATTTCTCTTTTCTCCCTCTAAAATACTATTGCCTGTAGGATGGGCAAGAGTCAGTCCTGGGGCAAAGGTTTTTCTGTAGGTAAAAAAGTGACAAGATTTTAAATCTGATATTTCAGTATCCTACAATGCAAGGAAGTAGGAGCTTTATGCCATTAAAGTGGAAGATTACAAGCTTGTGAATAGAAGACACAAAGTTTGTTTAGACTAGTAAGTTCTAAAGTAATGGACGTATGTTCATACTTTTATTAGGAATAGAAAAAACTATTTCTCATCTCTTTTAGAGGTTTCTGCAGTTTCCTCTGATGTGTGAATCATTGAAATCCAAGGAACAGAACAGCTTTTAGGGTTAGGGCCTTTGTGTTTAACACATCTACTTTAACAGGGGGGGAGATCATTTTTTTTAAGTCTTATCAATTATCATGGTTCTTGTAAGTAGATATTTGTGCTTGAAGTGATACATTTTTCATAGCAGTTTTGCAAGGCTGGAAGTGTAAAGTCATGTATGTATATGTGTATAAAATATATGTATATAAAATAATGTTTTTCAAATATTTACATATAAACCCAAAGGGATTGGCCTCCTTCCCAGAATTACTGGAACTACCTTCCCCAGGAACATTTGGAATTGAATAATCTCTGCAACAACACTTTTCTTTTGAAACTAAACAACTTGTGAAATGGGTGACTGGCTCTGGAGACAATTCACTGTTCATTTGGGTTCTTTCTTATGACAATAGAAAGGGCTGGGTCATACATTTTATTTAATTACTGTAAGGTTCCTTTTGTTGTTTTCCTTTAATATATTTCATGAGGGAAATTCCCAGTAATTGAACTAATTTTGTAAATGTTTCCAAATGTATCCTGGGAGATTTGGGCCTATTTTAAGAGTTTAGACATAATGGAATTATGGAAAATTTCATGGCTTAACACAGTTTGAATCAAACTATGCACAATTTTACCAGATTCTGTAGAGTTTTGAGCATTTGTGAACCTGAAACCAAAGTGAAAAATCAGAGGATTTAAATTGGAACAGAAACAAATGCTATTTTGCTATTGCATGTAGGGCCGTGCTTTCCTTTCTTCCCCAAACATATATTTCTGGGAGATAAATTGCGTTAGGTAGCCAGTCTATTCAGGAAATAAGAATGGTCCGATGGGAGAAGGAGGATGGGGTCCAGTGGTTAGGGTGCTAATCTGGGACTTGAAAGACCTGGTTCCACTACAGGTTACCTGTGTGACCTTGTGTAAGTAATTTATCTACCCTGTGATGCACCTCACACACTTTCCTCCTCACAGCAATGCTATAAGGACAAAAGCACTAAAGATTGCGAGGTACTCAGACAGGAAGACCAACAGAATTGCCAGGCCACTGGGCAAAATGGGTATGGGGCCCTGACTCTGCTCCCAGATGTTGTTCGGACTGTTCCACGCTCCTCCACCCCAGCCAGCAGTAGCCGCAACCAGGAGCCCTGGACCTTTTCCAATCGCTGTTGCTGGGTTTATACTGACATACTATGGTAATGAACACCATATAACTACCTCAGACAGAAAGCTAAATATACAGACTTGGTAACATAGGAATGTAGAAGATAGGGTATAATGAATCAGACCCATGGTTCATCTAGTCAAATTTCCTCCAGAAGAAGATGCAGGAAACCCTGTAGAGGACAGTTGTGGAATAATTAGTATTTCCACTTTTAATTCTCAGTAGTTTGAGGTTTTGTTTTTTCTCTCTCTTTCCTTTCTTTTCTCTCTATGTACAGTTTTATGGAATAAAATATGCTGCACTAAACTAATCTTGGCACTAAGAAATAGAATGTGGGACTAATAGCTTTTGATATTACCTAGTGCTTATTATTGTTATTATTATTATTATTTCTTTTTAATTATGCAAAGTGCTAATCAGTTTGATTATGCACAGTGCTAATCAGGTTAATTATGCAAAGAGCTAATCAGTTGTTCTCTAAGCACATGAGGAGAGCAGAGGTGCTGGTGGTGAATGGCGCTTGGAGATGGAGAAAGTCACGGCAGTCATTCCTTATTAAGAGAGGAGTAGGTGAGATGACGGGGGTTTTGCCTCCTTTAAAAAATAAAAAAGGGAAGAAAGAGCCCTGATGATGGTGATTCTGGAAAGGCAATGTCTTCTCTCACAGCAAGGCAGATTTTTTGTTTTTCATACTGACTGTTGGACACTCATTTAATTGTTAGACTTTTTGTGAACTGACTTGGACAAACATAGTAGAAAGAAGCATTGTAGCTGTTGTCACATGAGACAATCTTGTCAGGCAATTTTTCCTAGAGGGTTGGAGTCCAAGTGGCTGCCACTTGGTGGGGAGGGATGTGTAATCAAGGAAGCTGAAAATATTAAGGGAGTCTGCCCTAATCTAACAAAAAGGACCATCTTTGGAGCACTTGTACTCAGAATGCAGATAATGAGTCTTGGGAGGTAGAGGGAACATAATATATGATCAACAAAGAAAAGTTTATGTTACGTGATTATCAGATGAGCACACACAATGAATTTCATTAAGTAACCTATTCACAAGTAGATATTCCTCTGACTACTTTTACAAGGGTTCATATTTGATTATGCCCTTTTTAGTCTGCAATCGTACGGTAGTTACATACTTTTACCAGTAAGCTCTTTGCTGGTCCTTACAATTTATTGTTGGTCCAACTTGTCCATTTTGTGGTGCCTCGTGATTAACTAATTTCTGCGCAATATCTGTTATCTCAATACATTTTAGTGCTGGTGTATGGAGATTAAGAATTATTTTTAGTGTTGGTCTTGGAATTGGGACACCCAGAGTAGAGACCACTTGCTTCTATCATGTTTTGGGAAATGCCTTGAAAATAATCTGGAATCATCAAAACAAGAGGCTACTAGATAATAATAAATTTAGTGCTTAAAGGGCAGAGTAGGCAACAATACAGTGGAAGTTATGCTTGAAATTAACCATTATAAATAACTGCCAGATCATCAAGAACATTCAGGACAAAAAGTTACGTTGGTAATTTGCAGCTGATACCATTATTTGAAAAAAGAATGTGTGTTGCCTTCTTTATAGCTAGTGAATATCACTCAATGGAACTATTGCCATTTTAGGGAAATAATTTTCACCTGAAAAGAGAAGGGTCTTTAGACCGGTGGCCGGGTTTACATTTATATGTCACTGTCTCTTTGTTATTCCTATGCGTGTTTCCTTTATAGAAACTGCTGTTCTAATCTCAGGAACATAAGGATCACTGTACCTCAATGGCTTGTCAGGTATCGTGACCCTGAAAGAGGCCTATGCTTGATGTTGTAGAGGAAAATGAAAAGCCCTTAGTATACCCAGACACTTGTACAAATATTATATATGAAGGGAAGAATTCCTT